AAATTTCCAAAATACATATTTGTTTATTTCAGATCCACTTTCTAATTTATTGTTTTAAAAAAATACATATATACTAACATTGGAGTTCGCTTTGAATCACAGGCTTTATGAAGTCAAATGCTAATTATTTTATATATCACTATTAAGGTATGATGCTACTACAATTTATTTGTTTGATTTGGCATATATTCTTGAAACGCCTTTTAATTTACTAAATTCTACATTAATCTCTTTCAATACTAATGAAACTAACTGTAATATGACTATTGAGGATATGAGTCAAATTAAAGACATTAGTCTAGTCCGGGTTTCGAATAAAAAATAATTGAGTAGTAGATCGCAGTTGAAAGGTATAAATTTCATAAAAAAATCGGCATAGAATTACTATAATGTTGGAATGCTGAAGTTTCTGTTGATATATATCCCACGATCTACTAGCTCTTTAACATTTGTTAGAAACTCAAGTGAGGCTTGCTTAGCTAAAAAAACTTTTTATTGTAAGCTGACTGCATTCCAACCCTATAGAAAACCTACATTAGCTTTTGATAACTTTATGCCCTTTAACTGCGATTTACCTAAGTATTCTTGTCTTGTTATTTACGGAATTTTGTAGTTTATTATTTAATTAAAATAAAGATAATGTTTAAATTTTTATAAATATTAAAGATTGTCTTTATTATCACACATCGTATTTTAAAACAAAGATAAGATAAAATCATACATAAAGAAAAAAATGAAAGGTGCTGTATTTAAAATGTAATTTATCAAATCATATATAAACTAATTATTGTTATTCATATAGTTTGGCTTTTGAAATAACACACTAAATAAACTCTCCAAGTTCCATTTTGCTTTGTTGTCTACTGCTGGGTGTGCATAATCACTCAACAAATCACTTTCTATACCATCATAATAATTATCATGTTCTTCCTCTTCATCTTCTAATCTGGCAGTCTCTTCATCTGTTAGCATTTGTTCCTAATCACATAATTGATTTTTTCAATTCTCAAGGTTTGATGGTTCTAAATCATACAGCTCATTGTGTTCTTCATCCAAATCTGCTTCAAACTTATTTGGTATAGCTTC